TGTGTGTGTGTGTGTGTGTGTGTGTGTGTGTGTGTGTGTGTGTGTGTGTGTGTGTGTGTGTGTGTGTGTGCGCACGCGGGAGCGTGCAGGTGATCCATGGTCTCAAGTTTGTTATATTTCTCTGTGGAGTAGACTCCCATATGCTGCGAGAGTACAGAGATCCTGAGTATGAGGAATTTCGCCGAGACGAGCCGAGCATCTTGCTCACTGTCAAGCTTGATTTCGATGTACTGGGTGGGGTAGATGGGACATACCATTCTCAGTATCTGGGTCAAGACCCAGGAAGGTAGGCATAGCAATGTTATTGAGGGCATGGAGGTCATCTACATAGCGGTATGTATATACAAAACGGGCTGCGATATCATGCTGCTCATTTTTCACAAGTCTCATCATAGATAAGTACTCATATTTGAACAGGTACAAATCACACCGGATAGGGGAGTACGGGAGTCTCATAGGTATGTCATTCTTTTGTCTCCAGACCCTGTTGCCTAGCTGGATGAAGTTGCTGGTCGCCAACAATTCATTAAAATGGAGAATGGCGCCCATGTTCAGTGAGTTGGCAGACTTTCTATCCGTCCATGCACATATGACCTTCCCATTTCTATTTATATGGTATCTGATACGCTAGTTCCCTCTACAGCTGTTCTTATGCGCAAAACCTTTCCTAATTGAAAAAAGGACTGCTGAGATCAGGCCATCATCAGGGTCAACAAAAGGGATGGTTGCGAAACACCTGCTGATATCTGTTGTGAACGCTGCATACACCTGGTCAGGTAGGTTGAGGCAGTACTCATTAACAGACTGGACTGCCCACCAGAGTTTGATGGTAAGGTCGGAATCAACCTTGATCTGTCCGGACTTCTGGGCACAGTGGTTCTGGACTTCAATCGCGAGGAGTTTCAGGGCTTTAGCACAGATGTCGGCAATGGGAGAGAAGACACAATCAAATGCATCGGTTACCCACCTAAATGTATTTTTGTGATTTTTGTAGTTAATCATTAGGTAAGGTAATTTATTCGGCCCGACCGGAAGTCCGAGCACATTATTCATTAAGATGATATTGATCAGATCAGGGATGGGTTCGACAATCTCCTCAAAGTTCGGACCGTTGATTCTTCTATATGCCAATTCACGAATTAGTTATTTGCATATGAGAACAGGAGTTTTGGCAGTTTTGTCCATAGGGGCAATGAAGAAGTGCTTGGAAAGAAAATCAAGTTCATGCTCAACATGTGGGGAACTCAAGTCAGTACTGGAATGACGCGAGTGGTTCTTCCTATAATTCCAGAGGAGCAATTTAGCCCTTCTAGCTACTTCCGTGATCAGAGCTTGTTTCAGCTGTGGCTGAAGTTTCATAATCTCTATGACATTCCTGATAGTATCACGCCATGTGGCTTCAATCTGCAAGATAGCACTGCTGACTTCGAGTGCGCGCGGTGGAATGTGATTGAGACCACAAGCCAAGAGGTGCCTGATGAGCCCGTGTCTTGTGACAGAGTAGTTGCTGGTCACCATATGTCCTTTGAGAGTCAAATCACTACCCGCAGCTTCTAGAAGATCGGCCATAGCTGGTTCCGAGTAGTCGTAGTACCTTGCCTGGTTACAGCAACAGTTGCGCGTGGTAGAGGTCCATGTCCTGCTGTCAAATTGTTTGAAGACCTGCGCTGGTTTGTAGAACAGTTTAGAAATGGGGTCGTCATATTTCCAACCAAACACCACATCCTCCAACCATCCGCCCGCCGATACACCGATCAACGAAACCAGGACTGCTGAAAAAAGAGCTCTAATACTAACAGCCTCCATAATCCTGCTGGTATAGTGAGAGTGTACAAACTTCTTACGTCGTTTAGTTTGCACAACCTTCGTCCAGATACGTCCGCCAGATGGGCCAATCATGACTAGGCCTTGGGTGGGCTCCTCTTCGGATTGGTCTTTCTGAAACTATATGAGGGGGAATAGAAGTCATTTCGGTTGTAGGGAAGGGGGATGGGGAAAAAAACAAGTGATGGTGACGGGGGAGACAGGAGGGGGAGGGGGGGTGCCAAAGAAAAAAAGAGAAAGAAAAGAAGTGAATAGTACTCAGTGGGTAAGAAACCAGGGCGAAATCAGAGTGCCAAGTTCATGACCTCCTCATTAATCCTATATTAAGTGATAATCCCTTACCTATCACAGCATGCTATCGACCCACCCAAGATTGGATATTATATGGTCCCACATACTTATTCATTGTCAATCACCTGTGCGGTGATGTCACCCATGTAATCCCTGTTTCCACCGAAGTTCTCACCAAACCAAAACCAATAATTAGCGCTGGCAATCTGTCCGAACTTTACAGATCTAGCTACATCAACAGTCATATCCACAAGTAGATCTATGAGAGCATCGGATCTGTCATCTTCCCATCCCAGTGGCAATAAAGCAGTCTCCCCTCTCATCCACGCTTCGCAGATAATGTTGTCCATAATTTGTCTTGCACATACGAAAAGCTCGCCCTTGCATCGTCCATTGACGTCGATGTCCAGTCTGGAGCTCGACATCCTGATCAGGTCCGGGTTACTGCTCATGACGAGGTCCAGGAGCCGTGGGGAAACCATGACTAAGGTGTGGATAGGGTCATACAGTCCACTCCAGGGTGGGTGTTCTATCAGCTGGATTTCCTCACCAGTCAGCGTCGTACGTGGGCGAAAAAACATTCTCCTGTGTACCACTGGGAAGATGGCAAATGGTGCCATATCTGCTGGCTGCTCACCTAGACGAAAGATGTATAGCAGGAAGCCCCGTCACTAATCACAGAAAAAACACACACAGAGACACACCAATGAATCTCAGTAGCCGTGAAGTTAGTTGTCAACTAACATGTCAGACTGTGTGCTGCCATGCTCAAGCTGAATCCGTTCCTCAATGTCCTGGGTCTTGGGGTCAGCTTGGGCCATAATCAAGGAACCAGCAATAGCAACCGTGACCGCTGCTGCCGTGGTGGCAGCTGCCCATGTGGCGGCAGTGGATGAGAAAGCCCCGTCCTTGTTGCTCTTCCTGAAGTATGCAGCAGTCAGGATCCTCTGGGTAGGGGACACTGGATTGGCAAGTCTCTGTCGCTTGGCAGGTGACTTCTTTTTCTTGGGTACTTCGGGGGCCTGTGGCAGCACTGGTAGGAACATGGCCTTTGATGGGAGTTAAGCACTGCCCATCAGGAGTGCAAAGGGTTTCTTGGCAAATGACATTTTGTCAAAAACCGGGCCAACAGTGATAGTTGGATCCTTTTCAACTGCGAGTACGACCGCTGTCATGATGTCCCTCATTACAACGAATGTAAGGCAGAGCTTGATTAGGGGTTTTCATGCACCTCTGAAGAGGTGGAGTAAGAAGCCAATCCGGACCTTGTTGGATTTGCCATCAGGTCTGATCATTTCTGGGTGAGTAAGGATGAACCAGATGTCATGGTCCAACCACAGCGGACCAACTTCACACCCCTTGTTGATCCCATGTCCACAACCACATTTGAGGTAGGGACGCCCAGCATTCCAGATCTTCCTAAGGATCTGATGCTCGCAGGTTATCTCGGTGCGTAACCCTTTCTGCAAAACGCCTGGAGGAGGGAGTGAACAGCGGGTGGGATCAAACATGTTCATGGGTGGAAGTGGGGCATTGTCATCATTAAAGGCAGGTTTCCCAATGCCCTGGTGATGGAGAACACTCTTGAAAGCCTCATCCCTGCACTCCCGCATCTCGGCTTCGGACAGGTCACTGAGGAATTTGTAAACCAATAGCGTTGATCGGATCTTCTCCTTTTCTTGATGGGTACTGGTGCGTTGATGAGCCTCTCCATCTCAAGTTTTTCCTCTTGATCATCAAAATTGTCAATGATGTTCCCTGGTGGTGATTCATGGGGATACGCAGGGGGAGGAGATTCTTTCCAAATTTCCTTGACCGTGTTTTGGAGATCCATCACTCTGGTGGGCTTGTTCTGGATCTCCAATTCCAGGTTCCTTTTCCTGGTCTCGGCTTTAGCAACATAAGATCTGAGAACCGTCTCGAAGTCTTGTCTCTTGTGTAAGTTGTGTTCAAAGGTCCAGGCCAAATCCGCTCACTCATTGAAGAAAAATGACTCCGTAAGCTATGCATTCATTCAACTCGCAACGGGTTTTGTACAACTCCGTTGTACCTATTGTACACCCCCGGGGTCCGCGTTGAATCCCCGTTGAACAGTACAACGTGGGCTTCCCGTTGAAATCCGATGACCGGGTCGAGCCCAATGGGCCTCGGACACGTAGCAGGATACACGTGGGAAAAAAAAAGTAAGAAAACTGCCCTCTGTGTGTGTGTGTGTGTGTGCGTGTGTGTGTGTGAGTCTGTGTGTGTGTTCATGTGTGTGTGTGTGTGTGTGTGTGTGTGG